CCATGGCACATGTTTATATTGCTGAACAAGGCAGTCGGCTATTCCCTTCTTGCGGAGGAGCAGCAGCGCAGCAATACAGTACACTTTAATCCATCAAAAAAAAAATGTATTACAGGAGGTTAGGTCTACCTAATAACCCTTAATAATCTTCATTATAATCACATTCAATTTATTCATATTCGTATTGCTAAGAGCTGTGAACAACTTTTTACTTCTACTATCACAACTCAATAAAATACGCACAGCTAATGCACATGCACAGTAATCACAGAGTAACTGACCACAACCGTAAAAAGCACTATGATTTTTTATGATACGAACCGCTCTTCAACCACCAGTTTAATTAAAAGGTGAAAGATAGTCCAGTAATTTCGTACTCTATAAGAAAATAGTAGCCTTAGGAAAACATTTTTTTTTTCTTAGAAATTGCCATTTGTCCTGTGGTCTTTGGGCAGTTGTTTTAGGAAATAATGGCTCTTTCTATTTCCTATTGTGTACTTAAAACCTAATTTTAATCGCTTATTATTACACGTTTATAATTTCAGGTCCAAACGTGGCGTCAGTCAATGATATGTGGAGAATGATCTGGCAGGAAAAGTCTGCGATTATTGTAGTAGTTACCAACGTCTTTGAAGGAACCAAGGTATTTGTCTTGGACTGTGAGTTAGGGAGTAGGCCTATGGAAGGGTGACTTGATTCTAGGTGGCTTTAACGTGTCGGTCTTTTCTAAATATTTTATAAATTGTAAAACATAGTGTTTCAATTCATGTAGAATGTTTTAATATATCTATTTGTAGCGAAAATGTGAGAAGTATTGGCCAGAATTAAACGATGCTAAGACATACGCAAATATTGGTGTATTGAACGTTGAGGAGACCAACTATGGGTACTATGTTGTCCGGAATCTGCAACTTCAGAAGGTATTTTTTCAAGATTATAGTTACATAATCATATTTGTCTTTGTAATCAACATTGAAGAATAGGCCTACGCTAAATACTCGAACTTAAATACTACGGACATATATTGACTGTTCATATTCCATCGAATAAACTCAACTTTATTCCAAAAAGGCTATCACATTATTTCTGCTTGCTTCTTAGTTGGATTCAATGAAAAATATATAGAAATAGTAGTTATGAAATGTTTATACATCTAAGATACCAGTATTATTGACGCATGATTTATTTACTTTAAAGGTTAGGACGGAAGAGGTACATAGTGTAGTTCAGTATCAGTTCACTGATTGGCCAGATAAGAGTGTTCCCCGCGCTGTTCCAGATTTGATTGACTTCATCTACGCGTTCAGGAGAGCACAGCAAGATTCACCAAGCAACAGTGGACCAGTCATAGTACACTGCAGGTATATCTTATAGTGTTCATAAAAAATGCAAACTCTTTCTCTTAAAGTATTTGTTTCATATCGTATATAAATATTGTTAGACAAATGTCCTAGGAAGCAATAAAACCAGGACGAGAATCTTTTGATGCATCAAAACTAAAACCATGTTAAACCAGGAAATTTCTTCATGGCTAAACATAATTGTACTGTACTGTATGATTGATTTTTTTTAAGAAACGAAGGCACTTATTTAAAATTGATGGGTCGCATACACGAGAGGGGTGCTAA